CTTGATCCGCGCCTGGACCCCATCTAACTTTTACTACATGTATCCGTTAAAAGAGGATGTGACCCTTCATTTGAATAAAACTTTATCAAAAATATTCTGTGTTAATTTACGTTGTTATGGTCCTGTGGTTCTTGATAAAAATGAGAAAAATTTACAAGTAGCTTTAGAACAACAACGACGATAACGCTCATATACACCAAGAAAGCAAACAAAGATGAAGAATTATGAACAGAAAAGCTTCCTTGGGTCTTTGGCTTGGAAGGTGAGATACTTATTAAAAATTGAAATTATTTTGTCATTTTTTTTTTATAATCGACGGGCCTGCATTTCAAAGAGAGAGAGAGAGAGAGAGAGAGAGAGAGAGAGAGAGAATTTCTAGCTAGGTCTTTGAATAACAGTGACATCGGTTCAGAAAACAAGGTCCCTAGGAATGTACATGTATATAAAATAGGCAGTGCCTATCTCTCTCGGAATTCATCACCTGCTTCTGGAAAGCTCCATCCTCACTTGTACTGACATGTACCTGGTAAAACCAACCGACTGCGAAAGGAAAACTTTCTATTTATTTCGAGGATGGGGGTATACGTATAGTGATGAGAGGAAATTTATTCACCTATACGTTCATTAAATATGAAAGATTGCTTCTGAGTATTTGTATACGATCGCACGACTTTCGTGTTAATTTATAAAAGTTGGATTATGTAAGCAAAGAACTAAACTAACATTTGTTGTAGATGAATAAAATAATTAATTAGCCGTTTATAATTTTTTTTAACATCTGTAAGAACCACTTTATTTTAAAAAACGAATAATCGTCCTATTATGGGCGCCCATGATATATTAGACAAGGTGTTTAATTAAAACATAATTCAGATATCGACATCCAAGAGAACAACACATTCTTTTTCAGTGGCGGATACAGGAGTCTTGAAAAGGGGGCCCGACCAGTTTTGTGTCGGGGTAGGGGCCCAAACCCACATAAAAAATTGATTTATTAAATCTTGTGTATATTTTGGATACAAAAGAGGGCAGGCCCCCTGAACCTCCTCTAAATCTGCCAGCGTTTTTTTTTTCATTATCTATCAAACGCGTTGACAAAGTCAAAAAGACGGTTTTAGTTTTTTAGGGCATTTTTACAGTGATATGAGAAAAGTCTGATAATTGCTGTTAATTTTAAGAAATAAAGTTCGTCATTTTTCAACCTCGTTCGGTATAATATAATTTACTGATAATTTTTTCCGTTAAGGAGGAACACATGGACGAAGGATAAAAAAGCAGTATTCTGCATGTACATGTACACATCATTGCTATAATTGTGTACTCGGGAATACACCCCAAATCCTTCGTTACATTGTATTTGGGTATAATTTTCACATGTTCTCAGGCGGATAATCATTTATTTTTATCTGTCTAAAGACAATAATTTCAGTTAATAGAGAAATGTTTTTATTTCGTCGTTTTTTCCCATCCTTTTGGTTTACACGTTTGCTTTGTACACAAAAGCGTGTGTTCATGTACCGCTGTTTCTACACGCTATCGATGTGATCAGGGAGAACATGATATCATCCAGCAATTTACTTCTTATCAAAACACTTAATGAAAACATATTAGGTGAAAATATATATACCCGTTAGTATCTTAGTACCTGAGTATCGACCTGTTTAATTGCAGTGTCACCAACCGTAACGATCGCTGGCCAGGACTTGAATATAATTTATTACCGTTATTAAAACAACTCGTCAGCTGAGCGGACCTATGATTTAAACAGTAAAATAGGGAAATTCCAGAGTTCGAAGTGTATTTATTTTGGGCCCTCTTCCACATAAACATTTACGCGTACTTAATTGCATGTACCAGTAATTCGTGTCATGTGTAAATTCAGTTTATTAGATGAGATAAAACAAATGCATAAGATTAATCTTCCTAAACAACACGTTTTTAAAATAACCTGTCTGATATAAGGGACGGTATAAAATAACAAAGAAAATAACGGGTTTGTGTTTGTATTTAATTTAGAATGAGAACAAATCTTAACCTGTCAAATCATTTATTTTCCAGACACTAATTGCCATGCGTAATCTTCACATGCACTGACCAAGAGGTCACAAGTTCGAAATGTATGGCTTCTCATTGCGTGAATTTTGTCAACACATGTCGGAACAAACTATCTAAGCCAATTGCTTCCCAAAGAAAACTGCATAGGAAGGGTTTTTTGGTACACTTTTTAACGGGTAAAATTCTTTCGACGCTCGATAGAATTTTCAAATACAAGTGAAATATTTAGCTTACTTGCGTCCGACCTAGTATTTTGTATGCAATAATATTGTAAGTTAGGAAGAAAATAATACAAACTCAAAAGTACTTAATTTTATTTTCGATTTTCCTGACAATTAAAAATGTGACCTCTACGTACAATTATCGTGATAATTACATACATGCTGTTTAATGTTCATGAAAGAAATAGCAACTTGTTAAATAATAACATTAGAGAGATAAATAAACTGTTTCTTTAATACACAAACAAAGTGGTCTTTTCGGCATTCAAAATGCATTGAATTTGAAGTGAATAAGTGAAAGGCAGTTAAGACTAGCTGATTAAAACGAGCGAGTGATAAACAGTAAGACGAAATCATATGAAAGATTCGAAATGATTTTAAAGTAATTTTCCACAAAGCGCAATTATCTCAACATCGAGAAATACAATGTTTATAAAAATAAATATGCAACTTCTTCTAATATGTAAATTGAAATGTACTAGCGACTTAATCAAAGATATTACGAAATAGTCTGAAAGATTCAACATATTTATCCACTCATCACTTAGTTAACAAAATGTATTTGGAATGGCCATTCTATGGATTGTTTTGTGTATGACCTTAGGTCGTTGGTTCACACGCCGATTGATCTTCGGTGACCTCCTTTGCCACGCGCTATGGAGGGAGGGGTTACATAATTGTAAACACACAAAGTGAATGTAAAAGGCGTGTACTTAATGGCTGTGAATAGTCTACGTTTAAAGTTTTGTTTTATTTTCTAACTTTATTGTTTGTTCTTATATGATAAGAAGAAAAGGTTATCTTTTTTTCCCTGTTTAGTAGACTGGTTTATCCAAATTTGAAAACAAACGAAATAAAAGGGAAAGTTGTCAGTAAATAATTTGGAAATAAAGCACAAAATACTTCAAGAACCTGATTCTAAAGAGTATTAGCATCTAATGTAGCTAGGTTTATTATTTATAGTAAGTTTATTTTAATTACACGCATGAAGAGCTCTTGTTTACTTGCTGAATGAAAACACTTACCTGTATATATGTTATGCTTCTAGCTCATTTAGAACACAAGACTCAAACAAAATAACGTTTTCTTGAGATCAATAAGATGTTAAATAACAACTTTAATTACGGCAGCTATTTCGAAATATTTACCGTTTTTGAGTTATAAAGCAAAAACTTTAAAGGGCCCCAGATCCCTAATTTTAGGGGCTAGACCCTTTTTAGTGGTGTCAAATGAAAGCCCTAAAATTGTGCACAACTTTTATTCTACATGTTTTATCAAAATATTTTTAGTTTAGAAGATAAAAGGGAAAATATGTGTAAATTTTCGCTCTTTTAGGCGTTCTAATTTTTGACCCCTCTCTAGCGCCATTTTGAATACAGAAATTGAAAAACAAAAACCGATGTGCACAACTTCAGTGCTTCTATTATTTAAATTCGGTAGAATTTCTACTCCAGCTTTTGTAGTCTCTGAGCCTTTGTCTGGAAATGAAGCCTACTAAATTTTCATTTAAGGTGTTTGGCTTCTGACAACAAAAAATATTAAAAATTTAATTTTTCTTTTTTAATTGTAAGAATAAACATAATTAATTATTTTAAGCCAAAAAAGTGCATATGTATATGATTTGGTTTACAAGCTATAGGCGTTTATGCCAAAGGGAGGTAAATCTCTCATTTTAGTAAAGAAAAAGACCAAAAATGCGTCCAACGTATTTAATATTCCCTTTAACCTAAAAAATATTTTCAAATCATTTTGACTTTTTGTTATCTTTTAAAAGTAGTCATAAGGAAAATAAATATTGATGAAATAATGATGGTAATCAACCGAAGATAAAATTAATTCTTTAAAAAAATGCACACACCCCTGTGCAAAAATTCGCTTATTTTTCCTTTTGGGGGCTTGTAAAATAAGCTTGGAAAATGAATTAGAAATAATTAAAAAGTTAATTTTTTTCTAGTTAATTATTTCTTAGTTGTAGTGCTTTCAAACAATGTAAAATATTGTATATCTACATGAGTTACTTTAAAAGATATTTTCATATGAATTTCCTCTGACCGAATTTTCCTCAAATTTTGAACAGAGGAAATTCGGATTGATTATATTTGCTTCCTACATTATTTAGCCTGTTATTTTTGATGAATTTTCTATTTGCATGAATGTATGATTGTATTAAAACTCATTCTTTCTCTTAAAAAAAGGACATTAAAATATATTAGTGAACGACTATATTTGATATTGAGGGGGAAAGAGGGGGGAGGGGGGTATCGAGTCAGATTATTTTCGTGCCCTCTCAAGACAGAATATTTATTTGCAAGAAGACCGGATACAGATTATTAAATTTCATTCTTGGAAAAATTCTGAAAACTCTACTTCTTTGGGTTTTAATCTTTCATATTACAAAGCTGGTCTCACAGTATATAAACTTCCCAGATTAACAAAACTTAAATCTACAGTATGTAATGATGCTTTCACACAAGTTTCATCTTCTCTTGCCCAGTGGTTCTTGAGAAATTTTTTTAAAGATGCTACCAAATTCTTAATTATCTTCCCTTGAAAGAGGGCGTGGCACTCCTGTGAACAAACTTAAATCCCCTTACCCCAAGGATGCTTTGTGGCAAGTTTGGTTGAAATTGGTCCAGTGGTTCTTGAGAAGAAATCAAAAATGTGAAAAGTTTACAGACATTGTGATAGTTATCGGTATTTCAAATTGTTACCGGTAAAGCTGCTTCCGCTATATCAAGAACATCACAAACTTTATGACGTGTATATTTATTGGTACACAATCAGAAATGTGCCAAAATCAAACCTAGCTTGACTTGTTGAAAAATTAATCACCACCAAGTATAGTGCATGCACAATATACATTTGCAGTATGTCCTTTCATATTCATTTGTGCATATTTCAATTTATGCACATAGCTTTCTTCAATAAATATCAATGAACAGAATTTAAATTCCCATGTATGGTCAATAAATCATTGTCAATTCAGTTTCTAAATTGGATTTATTTTGAATGGAAAGAAAATGTTTTGTTCAACTACAAACTACCAATAACACTAGACATTGAAACATGTTTCATATACAACAGTACATTGCATAATTATACCCCCGCTCCGAAGGAGAGGGAGTATATACTGTTTTATCCTTGTGTGTCTGTCTGTCCATAACAAATTTTTGTCGCAGTTTTCTCAGCAACCACTTATAGCAGATACTTGAAGTTTTAACACTCACTTTGTTTAGGCATGCCATATAGTAAGATTTATTTTGTACGAATCCAATTTCAACTTCCTGTTTATCTGTGCGTCTGTCAATACCATGCATAACAAATTTTCATCACAGTTTTCTCAGCAACTACTCATCGGAGATGTTTGAAATCTTAGCACACTCTTTGTTTAGGCATGCCATTTGGTGGGATTCATTTTTGTACGAATCCAGTGTCAACTTCCTGTTTATTCCTGTGTCTGTCCATAGCTGAACTTGTGTATATTCACATCAGAGGGTATATTCACATCAGTGCTCAGAGCGGGGGTATTACTAGTGAGCATTGGCTCACCTACTTCTTTACTTTATCTATTCTTAATAACTTATTATGACTGTATTCTTTTTTGGAAGTGAGGACCAGTCCTTTGGATGAGACAGTATAAACTAAGGTTTAATGTTGCAGTAGGTGCTGCCACAGAAAGATCCCTCATTGCTCAATGGCCTCAAGTGCAGAATACAGGTCTATATTTGCAGCCATCGGTCGACAACTGGTTGGTCCAAACATGAGTGAAAAATTTTCAAAGGGACGTAAAAAAAACCCTCACTAGTTCAAATAGTCTCAAGAGCAGAGTACAGGTCTATATTTGCATCCTGACATCAACAACTCGTGGGGTTCCAATTTGAGTGAAAAATTCTCAAAGGGACGTAAAACAAACAAACAAACAATAACAAACAAAGAACATCATACATTCACAAACAAATAACTGCATTACTGCTCAGACCTGAAATAATCTGCAACAGAATCAATGATTTTTTTAGATTTTGTCACACGCACACTATTATCAGCTATCTCTGACAGCACATCCTGCACTCCCTCCCTACCATTTCTCTGATATGCAAGTTGTAAGTGGGATAAGGAGAGTCCACTGCCGGCAATCTTATTTCCCATTCCATTCGAAATTACCTTTTGGTCCAATAAAGGCCTTAGTGTACTCATTAGATGCTTTGTTGTGTTCTTGTGATGAAACACGGCAACGGCAGAGTTCAAGGTGAAGGATGCAGCAACTTTGACTTCATGGGAGGGTCCTGTATGATCGACCAATCTCTTCAAGGCTATGACATCCTGTAATGAGTCATGCGCACTGTATTTGTCTTGTAGAATTTCTGCAAAGAGGTGTAACTGCGAGTATGACGAAAGGTTTGGATGTGACATTTTGAAAAGAGGAATTGTATCAATGAAGCCAGTGACTGCAGATGAAAATGTCTCCAAAATGTTTAGTTTACTCAAAATGTTGAAGAGCACAGGAAGGTCAAACACTTTAGAGTTATGCCCAACTAGAACAACATCTGGACCCGACATCTTCATGAAGTCCATAAACTGGATCAGAGCATCTTTAATGCTGACTGTCTCAACTTCCTCATGATTGTGGTACATTTTATTGTTGACTACTTGTATTCCAGTTATTTCTGTAGCTTTTGATGTCATTGGTTTTTTTGGAATGATGTACTTGTTGAATACCTCATCATTTCTAACTGCAGATAACTGCACAATATGAGAATCCCTTGCTGAAAATAAAAACAAGTATATTCAAGTTTTTGAAATTCAAAACATAAAATATCCAAACAAATCCATTGATATATGCACTATTTCAAAAATTTTGAAACAATGAAATACTAGTGCCCCTCTTCCCCAAGCCTTAACTCCTGTCGAAAATGCTTGAACTCTTTCAGAGTATGCATTTTCTTTTAATTCAGTGTTGTCAGATTAGGAAAAGTAAAGTTTTGAAAGAACGATATAAAACATGCTCAACTACCAATACCAGAATCATAGAGGTTTAAAAACTTCTTTTATGCCATTTCAAAATATGCATTTGCTTTTATTCAATATTAGCAACAGAAAATATATAATTTTTGAAAAACATATATTACCTCTGTATAAATTATGTGCATTTAGTTTCATTGGTTTTTGTCCCACCCACAGGCCTCTGAGGTGCAAGAGTCATAACATTTAAATTCCTCTTTACTCTGAAGATGCTTTATACCAAACATCGGGGGGGGGGGGGGGGGAGCCATATAGTTTTCAGGAAGTTAAAAATGTTTATTAGTTTACACATGGCAGACAGTGGACAGGGACCAATTACAAAAGGTCATATGAGTGTCTCAAATCTTCGAAATTAATCATGTTTTCATACATTCCTTTTGCATATGCTTCCCATACATCTGGTGGATATCAATCAGGAAATAAATTTTGAGATTACATGGGTGTGATATCACAATTGTTTATGACTGAAAGTGTTGTCATGGAGTTTTGCTGCTAAGGCTCGGAGATAGAATATCATATTCAATCATTTCCAACCGCAAAACATGATAGATCCTTCTTTTATAGAATTGTTTACTTGATCGTGATTCCCATATCTTGTGATAAACACTTGGTGGTTTTTGTGACAAACAGATTAGAAATTTTCTTGCTGTTTACAAAATGCTGGGTTTATTCCTTCGACATGCATATAGAAGAAATACTGGAAGAGTGCCATAACCATCAGCATTGACTAGACATTCAAAACTCATTTAGGTTCTTACCGAGTCCAGTAGTTTCCAAGTCGAAATAGATCTCTTCAGCATTTAACAACTGACTTGAAGGAAGATGATCATACTTTGGAATTGTTTTTGGAGCTGGAATTTCATCAATGTCCGAGGCATGGTGGAGATCACATCCTGTCAAATAACTGACACCTTCCCTTGTCTCTTTTGTAGAAAGACTTTGAATTCTGTAAAGAAGTTGTATATTGTAAAACAAATAATTCCAAATTGAGGTCTTACAAGAGGCCTAGCAAAATAAACACTCACCTGATGTACAGCCAATAAAAAAAATTTACTTAGTAAAGACTGGTTGCACAGTTCTGATAGAACGTTTCAAGCTATTCTAAACCACAATTTTGTACATTACAGGGTGAAAGAAATTTCAGTGACCACTTGGCAAAGCAAATAAATATGAAGCATAACCATTCATCTCAATGAAGATTTTGCTTGTCCCATATGACTCACTTTTCCAATATAAAATAGATATTCAACAATATAGTGAAAAATATACCTCCAAATGAATTGGAAAAAAATATTTATCAAACCACTGGTTGATTCATTCCAGAAAATGTCCTCTTCATTAATTTTATACTTATATCAAACTTTTTATGACAATTTGCAACCAGAAGAGACTCACTATTTATAACAAGCATAAATCTTTGGTGATTCAGAAAACAATAGATCTTAGTAAGATTCAAGAGTTTTTTTCAATTCTCACTTTAAATATATACTTATCAGCAGGGACATCCACTTGTCCTTGGTTGGTTTTCACTTTTCAGTTAGACAAGAGTTTTGTTGCACTCTGACAAATGACAATAAAAGTATACTAGTACCTCTTGGCTTTCAATTCTCTCCTTCTCCTTTTAAATTTCTGTGTCATTGAAATGGCCTTCTGTCGTTTTCTTTGGAGATCCCTCAGAATGCACTGTCTTCGAGTATAGTAGCCAGGAGAGAGGCCTAATTTCTTGTTCACCTTTAATAAGGATATAAGAATCCATTATGTTCAACTAAATATGCAATACATTCATTAATCTGCTTTTGATTAAAATTTGCAGAATTTTAAAATCTAAGAGATTAATATTCTCACATAACAAAAGTACACACAGTAGAAATATTGTTAGGAATATATGTAATGCAAACAACATACATTATAAAACAAATGGATCATGGGCCTTGATGGTCACCTTTACTACGGCTACTTTGGCCCCGCCCCAAGCTCTAACTTGGGACTAAACTCGCTCCTTTTTTTACCATTGGCCTTGCTGTTTTTCACTTGATTCCCCCCCCCCTTTGTAGTACTTATTGTGGCCCCACCCTACCCCAAGGGGTCATGATTTGAACAATTTAGAATCTACACTACCCCAGAATGCTTCCACATAAGTTTCAGCTTTTCTGGCCCAGTGGTTCTTGAGAAGATTTTTAAAGATTTTTACTACATATTTCAATGTAAATCTTGGATTCCCTATTGTGGCCCCGCCCTACCCCCCAGGTGTCATGATTTCAACAATTTAGAATCTACACTACCCCAGAATGCTTCCAAATAAGTTTCAGCCTTTCTGGCCCAGTGGTTCTTGAGAAGAAGATATTTAAAGATTTTTACTATATATTTCAATGTAAAACTTGGATTCCCTATTGTGGCCCAGCCCTACCCCCGGGGGTCATGATTTGAACAATCTAGAAACAACACTACCCCAGAATGCTTCCAAATAAGTTTCAGCCTTTCTGGCATAGTGGTTCTTGAGAAGAAGATTTTTAAAGATTTTTACTATATATTTCAATGTAAAACTTGGATTCCCTATTGTGGACCTGCCCTACCCTGGGGGTCATGATTTGAACAATTTAGAATTTACACTACCCCAGGATGCTTCCACATAAGTTTCAGCTTTTCTGGCCCAGTGGTTCTTGAGAAGAAGATTTTTTAATGACCCCACCCAATTTTTGTATTTTCTTGATTATCTCCCCTTTGAAGAGAACCTGGCCCTTCATTTTAACAATTTAAGCTCTTCTTCACCCAAGGATGCTTTGTACCAAGTTTGGTTAAAATTGGCTCAGTGGTTCTTGAGAAGAAGTTGAAAACGTGAAAAGTTTACAGATGGACGGAGAGACGGATGACGGACAACGGGTGATCAGAAAAGCTCACTTGAGCTAAAAATTAACATACCTTTATAAGATATCTGTGACCTTCATTTTTCTGAGCTACACACGCAGCAACTCTATATCTGAGGCTTGAAGAGGAGCTGTAATGATGGGTCTTTGGGGCTTTTGCAGACACCATTCTGTTAAAACTCTCATTTGATTGCGTGCTTCCTAAACATGAAAGACGATCAGAATGACTTGCATATGAACTGAAAACTTCTTTGAGATCATCCTGAAGGAACCTATCTTTGAGCGGTTTTCCATGTGGAAGAGACTTGTAGCGCAGGTTAGGGTTGTCGATGAACTTGCACCACCGTGCGGAGCAGTGTTCGTGATCTCCAAAGATGTGGTATGGTATTGATGAGAGGTCTTCTTGGATTTGAAGAGCATTTCCTTTTCCCTGTGCTATGGAGTAACTGAAGCACTTTTGAATATACTTTATAACAGACAAAGTTAGAGATGAATGTTCTTTCTTCAAGGTAAACAAAGAGTTTGTAAACAGTTTCTTCAGATGATTTTTATCAGACAACTTCTTGATATTAGCATTGACATTAGTTTTTAATCTTGCTATTGTGGTGGTATCCTCATCTCCTATGATTCCGTCAATGGTTATTCCTTTACTTTTCTGTAAATCTTCTACCATCTCAATAACCATATCTGCCTCCATGGCCTTTGAACTTCCCTCCCAGTTCTTTGAGCACTCATGGGCTGCTGGATTCTTGTTGGTTGTTTCAGCTACACTGCATACTCTGCAATTCTTTGACCTCACAGAATATGACAATACTTTGCCAGAGAGAGGGCCAACCATGGAACAATGACCTAAAAAAGTACATATTTTGAAGTAAAAGAAAAATTTAACACCCAATTTCAAAACAATGCCAATGGGTTATCACACTTTAGAAGATAATCTATACAAACGTTTTTCCTTTCTTTATTCCTCTGAATAAAATTCACCTAATATTGCTAATGAGAGTGCTTGCATATTGATTTGACTCATTAAGGCTCTTCCTTAATGAGTTTTTTCCTATAAATTCCCATGTAAAAATTATATCCCTTTTTGTGGCTCCATCTTACCCCCTTGGGGCCATAGTTCAAACAAAATTGAATATGCTTTACCTGAGCATGCTTGTATCTATACATGACTACTAATGGCTGTTCTTTGGAAGAATATTTTAAAATTTCAATGTACAGTTGAACTTTGGGATACATGTATCTTTTTCATAAAATGTTTCTTTCTTTCTAATTTTTTTTTAAAAATCTACTCTTCACATCTTAGATATGTGTTAGTAATTTATAGGATTTAGTGTGATCTTGCAACTCTATCTTATGTACTCCTTTATTAAACTCTAATCCGCTATTGTAGTCTCAACCTAATTTAAAAAAAAAACCATTTTTCCTATATATTCTTGAATAAAATTTGATCACCTTTTGTAAAAACCCTAGTCCTGGGGGGTCATGATTTTTACACTAAGTAATGAAGCTAGCTTTCACATAAATTTCCTCTTTCCTGGCCAAGTGGTTCTTAAAGAAGACTTTTAAAACATAACATTAAATTTTCTCTAATTATTAATTATCTCCCTTTTAAAGAAAACATGACTCTTCATTTGAACAAACTTGAATCCTGACCTTTCATTTGCACAAACTTGAATCCCTTTACCCAAAGATGCTTTGTGGCAAGTACGGTCGAAATTGGTTTGTGTGGAGAAGTCGAAAATGTGAGAAGTTAACAGATGACCACTACACATGGTTGCTGGACACCCTTTGATCACAATAAAAAGTGAGATTTTAAACTGAATTTATATTGTATACACACTCATTCATCATTCCCAGTTCCTTCTGCAAAGCATTAGACATAGACTCTGCAGCAATATCTTGGACAGCTCTGCCGATCTCTTTCTGTCTATTGTCTAGCATGGCATGACTAACAGGTGGTATATTCAGCTCAGAAAGGAGACTGTTAACTTGAGTTACACCAATGCCAACATGTACCATTGCTGTAAATACAAATTCAAAAATGAAAAAAAAAATATCAATCTAATTAAAACAAGAGGCTCTTGAACCACAACACTCACCCGAGTCTCATTTTTCTCTGTATTCCCAGGAAATAAAAAAAAAAGATCCATACTGTACTCAAACCCCAAGGGGTAATGGCTACCAAACTTAAATTGATCTACATAACATTGGGATGATTCAATATCAATATGATTAATACGGTTATATGGCTTTGCTCTTCTACAGAGAAGATGATTTTTAATTTTTAAAGATTTTTTCCATGTACTATTGCATTATGTAAAATCTGTTAAGTCCAGTGGTTCAGAGAACAAATCTAAACAAGAAGTCTGTGAGCCAATGCTCACTAGTAATACCCCTGCTCTGATGTAAATATATGTTCTCATGTAGAAACACAGATATAGAGAATTTACGGATATAGTGAAGTTTTTTGGAATCCCCAGCAAAATTCCTAACAAATCCTAAGAAAATATTACAGCTATAACAAACTCTGATATAACGAATTTATAACGAATTTACAGATATAGCAAACTGATTTTGTGTCCCATAGAGATTAAAAATAATAAAAATTATATCTTTTATAATGAATTTTTATAATGAATTGCAAATTCAATATATATACTTTAACAAATTCGTAATACATATATAACGAATTACGGATATAGCGAAGTAATTTCACAGGTCCCTTGGACTTTGCTATAACTGAGTTTTACTGTATATACACAAGTTCAGTTGCGACAGAAATTTGGTATGGACAGACGCATGGATAAACAGGAAGTAGACATCTGATTCGTATAAAAATGAATCTTACCATATGGCATGCGAAAACAAGAGCACCGCTAAGCGGAGCATCACCTCACAGAGGAACTTCACCAGTAATGGTAATGTCTCCATACGAGAGAATAATTCTCAAGAGGGACGTTAAGAAAGATACAATCACCTAGTTATCAAGGGCACCCACTATTACTATATAAAGTTTACAATAAGGTAAAGTACATAAAATGTATTGCAACACTAATTAATTTTTTAACAAAAGTCAAAGTTGATATTATATTGGGGGGGGGGGGGATGGGGGATCCATTTTTAACAAAAATTAAAAGTGCATATCATATTGGTGGGGAGAGGTGGGGGCATAACATGCATACGTAATTGGGCAGTTTCCCTTATTCCTAGCAGAAACATATCACGTATGCTCTAAGTTTCAGTAATTTACCTATGCAATATGCATAAAATCTGAGAATACCTGTGGAAGCAATATTTTTTCGTAATGAAAAATAACAATATGTCAGTGTTGAGAGGTCAATGAAACTTGCGAAATGTCTTTATAGCTTTCAGAAGAAATAAGGATAAATTCTATATTGTAAACAGACACATGTGGAAATTTAATAATGAAACTGCAACGTTCATCAAATTATTTCAATTACTCAGTGTCAGAGATGACACTTTTAATTCAGACAGATTGTCTCAAGATACGCACAATAATATGACAATATAAATATGCAAATACATAGTAGAACTTACTGAAGCGAGTCTATCGAAGCGATCCGAATTTACCAGTTTGATTAACAGGAAGTGAGTATTGTCAAGTCGTACATAAAATTTCAGGGCTTGAAGGTACGCAATATTTAAAGAAATATTTCACTGATTAACTTGAAAATGAATAGGATTTGTCCTTTCACAATCCCACATAAGTATGTGGAAGCTGAGATTTGATAGTACAAAGGTTCTCCTTAAATCTTGCCAACAAGCTGTAACGGACACACTAACACACACACAAACACACACATATATGCACAGTAGCGATGCTATATCCTCTCCGCAACTAGCTGCGCGAGGGGATAACAAAGAGTGTGCTAAAAACACAAGGGTAAAACAGTTTACCCCCCTCTCCTTTGGAGCAGGGGTATAATTTTGTAAAGTTAACAGACAGACAGATAAATAGAAAAACTTAGATCAGAAAGCTCAAATGAGCCTCTGGCTTCAATAAGTTAAAAATGGCTTCTCAACAAGTTTTTATTCTGAACTAAACATTATATATATATATATATATAAATTCTTTCAAGTTCATGCAAAACAAGTGGCACTTATGAAATCTTTGAACAATGGGGAAAAACCTATACGTACAAAAATGAGCTAAAATTTAATTAGGCTCTTGTGACCTGACAAAAATTAATATATGTGTATCTGATGTAGGGGATGTGTAAGTGAAACTTCTCACCTGCTGATAGTTTTGTATTTACATCCCACACTTTTCCATGTTTTTTCCCCGTTTTTACATGGTTAATATGATTACACTTTGTATTGCTGCAACAGACCTGAAATGTGAATGTAAAACCAATGAATCCCCAGTTACAGGTCACTGTAATAAATTCATTCACCGTTAATGAATATCAAATGCTGGGGAAAAAAAGAATTTCAATATGCATTATTTCAAATATGATAAAAAAAAATATTGTAAAACCTTCCAAAACTTTTAATAAGGACATGGAATAATGCCTATTTTACATTGAGAAAAATCCATGAAAAAAAACCTTTCAAGCTTTCAAAGTTGTTTTCTAACTAACTGGACATAAATTTATGAGTTTATACCTTTAACAAAGAAGCTAAACCATGTGTCAGTACAGAAATTGTGTGTGAAAGTTGCAATGGTAAGCCACATTTACAACATCCCCGCAAGCCCTCAGCTAACACTCCAAGTTCTACCACTCTCCTTCCCTCCTTCCAATCCTCAGATGTAGTCACTTCTCCCCCATCCACCACCTCCTCTCTTTCCAGTATATTTAAATTTGGCAATTCTATTAATAAAGAATGAATAAATAAAAATTATCACCAGGATACACATAACGTTCTTTACTATCTACACATGCTGACAAGTTGACTACTTTTGATACACTTACAACAGTTCATAGTGCCGATATACAGCATATTTTTGACATTTAAGAGGTAAGTATATGCTATTTAGCATGTGCATATATGCATAACAAAATTCATGCATTCATGGTGTTGGGATAGTTAACTTGACAGGGTTGTGCATCCAAGTTCTGCTGTTTTGTTCCATTTTACTAAGAAGTAACACAATATAAACAATTTATTTCTATTATTATGGTTTTGGGCCAGTCTTTTTAAAATTTACTGGCCCAATGTGACAGTGAAAGTACTAGACTGCTGAGTTAAAAAATTGACCAGTAAAAATTTAAGCGATAGCCTGAGTGGCCAGTGAAAAAAAAAGTAATTATTTTTAGTCCTGGACCTGTTATAAGATAAATAAACCATCCTGATCAGTGGCGGATCCAGGAATTGCATAACAGCGGGGCGCAGTAGAAGGCAGGGGGTCTGGGGGACTGCATTGACCCCCAGTGGGTCTAGGGCAAAGCCCTGGTGGGGGCCTGGAAGCTGATGAATTCTTACAAATAAGAGATGTTTTTTCCTTCATTTTAAGATAATGGACATAAAAGTTCTACATACAAAAAATTCAAAAGGGGGGGGGGGGGGGGGGGGGGGGGAGCTGGCCCTGTATCCGCCTTTGCTGATAGAGATTTCCAAAGTTTCTCCAAATATGTTGTTGAAATCCATTTTATTTGTTTTCAATCTCTTATTTGCTATGACATCTCAACCACACATACATGATGACACAGCCTATTCACACTGTGTTACGAAAATACAAACAATTAATGAATAAAGGTTAAGGGAAAATCAAAGAAAATGTAACAACAGAAAATTCAATGTTTTGTAGTTGTATATGGAATTTATTTCAATCATGAGACAGGATTTTTTTTTTAAAAAATAGATTTTCATTTGTGTTTTCAAAGACACTTGTGAAAATATAAAAAAAAATCCTATCCCACTAGTGAAATAAATTCCATATTCAGCTACAAAACATTAATCATCTGCTATGTATCATGATACACTGGAACTGCATCTCAGTATTGTGATAAATATTGTGAGATTTCACCTTTCATACATTTTTGCATAATTTGTGTCATACTGTTTTGTAATGTAACTTTCCATCACAATGTGAAGGGATCAAATGAGTATATTATTTCATCAAGCTTTAACATTTTATAATCTTTGAACCACAGCAATGAACAGCAAAAGTAAATTAAAAAAATATATCTTATATATATTTATTACATGTAGGTTAAACTATAAAAAAATTAACATATAGGCCTATGACTTAAAATGTTATAAGGACTAGAACGGCGCACTGTAATGGACATCATGTGCCTTCCTTTAATATTTCTAAGATAGATCTAACATAGATGCAGATGTGCAAACTGGTTTTTTTTTTTAGATATGATACACGTATGTATACAAACCTTGATCATGATCAATGTTAACAGGAGTTGCACTGGCGGAGTAATTGTGGTCTCTAAGAATAGCTCCCCTAATCCATCGGGTCAATTGCCCTGCAGATACTTTTTCATATCTCTCCTTCTTCGTTTTCGAAACGAACCCATGGCGTCTGTACTTTGGTTTCACCATCTTAACCAAAGTTTACGCGCCGAACGTTACTTCACGTCTGCTTTTTACTTACATTATCGTAATCCGTCTCACATGTCTTAATTTTCCGCGAAATATAAAATAGTTATTATATGTTTTCTTCTGGCACAAAAATCAATATTATGTACTTTCTACGGATAATTATTATAATTACTTAAAATAAACTATTATTTTTCTGTCATACTGAATTCTTTATTAAAACGACATTCAGACCAATTTCCGGCAGTTCGAGTTGCGCGGTGTATTCAAATTCGTCAGAAGCGAAACACCTTAAAGGGAGATAACCCAAAAGCGGAAGTGAATTTTTGAAATGTTTGACAGCATTCTGATAGAGTTTTGTAACGTCTATAAACCCTGCAAATTTGAGCAAAATCCGTTGAGAAATGAGCAAGATATGAGGTCTCAAAGTTGGCGTCTAGGAAAAAAAAAAGAATAATAAGAATAATCTTAACCATCAGAATCAGTAGAAGGTCTTCCGTTGGAAACGGAAGACCTTAAATAGAGTGTTCTCATTCGTTTGCGGGGAAAGGTGTATATTTTAATCACTTTTTGTAATTATTTGGGTATGTTCTTCATCATATTAAAGATTGAAAACATTCTGACAAAAACTTTTGAAAAATACTTACAAATTTAGGTGGTAAATTGACTAAAAAATATTGAGCTTATTTGCCTATATTCGTTGAAATGTGGACTTAATCTTTTATGTCAATTGAATAAAAAAGAATTTATTCTTGAATAATATTGCTTAATATGGTTCAGTTAATAAAGTCTATAAACGACGATGTTTGAAGAAGTATTTTAGCGATTTATTATATTCTCTTTATGACCAGTACCCCTTAAAATGGCTGAAAATATGTAGTCGCTGTGTAAAGTTATCCTTCCAAGTTGCACAGACTGCACTACATTTAATAACGAAGAAACATACCATATATTTTTAACTGATTGATAAGCGAGAGCTAATATATCATTTTGAAAAGTTTGAAAATCTTGTGACAAAGACTTTTCCGACATAGGTTCTACCTTAATTGACCTTTTAGAGATTTCAAACCACATTGTATGATGTTCTCCATCTTTCAAAATACAGAGACAGTCCTTGTTTTAACGTTTGGATTCAATTTAATTTTTTGGAAAAATTTGAATCGTTTAAATTTCACTCTATTTGACCTTTGAGAAATTTCAAAACACATTATATGATGTTCTCCATCTTTCGAGATGTAGAAATAGTCCTTGTTTTAACGTTTGGATTGAATTTAAAATTTTTGAAAAATTTAAATCTTTTAAAATTCACTTCATTTGACCTTTGAGAGATTCAAAACACAATGTTTGTTGTTCTACATCTTTCAAAATACAGAGACAGTCCTTGTTCTAACATTTGGATTCAATTTAATTTTTTTGAAAAATTTAAATCGATTAAATTTCACTCTATTTGACCTTTGAGAGATTTCAATCTCATTGTATGATGTTCTCCATCTTTGGAAGCAAAAAATCGTTTAAATTTCACTCTTTGTGACCTCCAATAGACTCCAAATCACTCTCATTCATGTTCTCATTATTTTACATGCCCTTGACATGCCCTTGATTTCACATTTTAAGACTTTTAAATTATTCCAAATTTGAAAATTTTTGAAGTTTTAAATGCTGTAATAAAAATTCATCAAGTAGGAGCTTACCGCTTTAAACGTTAGAGGATATATCAAAATCTTACGATTTTAAAGGTTTTAAAATTTGAAATTATAGTATTCAAAACTTTCAATGATTTAAATTGAATACATAAATTTTCATAATCACAGGTACATTATGAAATCACTATTTCAGACTTAATTGAATGTCCTTGCTTTCTTCTAGGTCACTGTGTATTAAACGTCACTGAAGAAAATCAATAACTTATACATGGGCCGTCAAAATTCTCTAACACACCTGAGCTCATATTTTCTTTAAAATTGCACCTAAAATCAAAACAAATATACTGTAAGAAAGGTCACAGGAAGACCTATCAGATGGTGTAAAAAGTTTAAAATCGGTCCGGAAATAAAAGAGTAAAGATTTTTTAAAAAAGAAATACAAGGATATCCGCCAAAGATCAAAGAGTACGGTCATCCACAAGTGTCCTTGATAATGAGTTTGACATGTCCTGTCAAGAAAAAGCTAACATACCTGAGCTCATATTTTCTTTATTAGTTCATTTACAAACAAAAGAAATATATTGTTGGAAAGGTCTCGTAAAGATCCATTTGATGGTGTATAAACTTCTATAATCGGTCAAGAAATAAAAAAGTAATGCTTTTTCAAAGAAATCAAAGGGTATCTGCCAAAGATCAAAGAGTACGGTCATACGCCAGTATCCTTGACAATGATTTTGACATGTCCTGTCAAAACAAAAGGCTAACTTACCTGAGCTCATATTTTTTTTTTATTAGTGCACTTACAATAAACCCAAATATACTGTTGAAAAGGTCTCGTAAAGATCTATTTGACGGTGTAAACAGTTTTAAAATCGGTCAAGAAATAAAAAAGTAATGATTTTTTAAAGTAAAGTTCTAAAAGTACACTTGCACTCAAGTGTCCTAACACACCTGAGCTTATATATTGTTTATTAATGTACTCACATGCAAAACAAATACATTTTTGGAAAGTTCTCGCCAAGATCTATTTGACAATATAAAAAAAATTTAGAATTGGATTTTAAAAAAAAATTGAAAAAAATAAATTTAATTTTTAAAAAATTTAAACATCTTCTTAAAATTTCAAAAGTCAGGTGCACATGTCAAGGTCACAATTCTATCATTCCTGAAAATTTCAAATTTCTATTTTGCGCAGTTTCTTCGGAGTAGGACAGACCGGAATTGCAGAAAAACATAAAAAATACGTCATATTTGGCGAATGGAAGTGAAATCATCAAAAATGAAAAAAAAAAAAAACATCCCGAGGGAACATCGTTCCCTATCATCTCCGAAAGTTTCATAAAAATCCACTGAACCGTTACTGAGATACCGGTGTAGGAAAAAAAATAAGAAGAAGAAGAAGAGGAAGAAGAAAAAGAAACAGTACAATAATAGAAGGGTCTTCCGCTGAAGACGGAAGACCCTAAAAAGAAACAGTACAATAATAGAAGGGTCTTCCGCTGAAGACGGAAGACCCTAATAATAATAATAAGAAGAAGAAGAAGAAACAGAGTAAAAACAATAGTTTCCAAACTTCGTTTGGGGAACATAATTATAATCACTGATATTGGTACATTAAAGAACATTGAGTGATCTTGTAAGATTTCTAAATAATATTCAAGCATACAATTCTTACATCAAATAATAATTTCATATGAAAATATATTGCAGATCGCAGATGATGTGAAGAAAATACAAAGGAAGCTGATGTTGAAAGAAGTATAGAGTATTTAATGAAGTTTTTCTGAATGGACTTAGATGTGAAAGACTACTTCATTGTGTATCAAGATATATGATTTTATTTATTTTGATATCATTTTCAAATAATGTTTTTGCACATCAAATGAATAATTAAACATATGATTTGATAATGCTTTTTCCTTTTAATACATTTTCTTGATAAATTTTGAAAAGAAAACACAGTTTACCAAGGAAATTAATAATATATATTTTGATTTAAACCTGCTGTTCTCTTTTCACATTCTAGACAAGAAAGATTCACCATGGAAAATACAGGGATCCTTCAGCTTCCAGTTGCTTGTCAATCATTTTTCGAAATTGAAATGCTCAACCTACCCTGTAGTTTCCATGGTATGGAAACTATTACACCATAATTACACATTGCTTCCCGTCTCAGAAAAATAAGGGAATCTTGAAGTTTCCCTGTAATTTCCTTTTATGAGACACCAGATAATTCCACCAAGTTTCCATCACACGGAAACCACTACGCTCCAATTCCATATAGTTTCCTGAGTCATGGAATCTTGAGGAATCACGAGGTTTCCTCTAGTTTCCGTTCATGGGAAATCTGAGGATTCCATCGAGTTTCCATTCCATGGAAACCACTACGCTCCGATTCCACATAGTTTCCTAATTATGGAAACCAGTGGAATCTTCAGGTTTCCCATTATGGGAAACTACATGGAGGCTCGGGAAACTTCAGGTTTCCGGAGGTTTCCGTGGTTCGGGATACCTTATGGAATAGGAGCGTAGTAGTTTCCGTGGTACGGAAACTTGACGAAATAACCTGGCATCCGCTGCGGAAACCACTAGGAAACATGATGTAAACACGAGGTTTCCATGTGGTTTCCATATAGTTTCCCATGACGGGAAACTACTTATTTCACCCAGTGATAGCCTACATCACAAATACATTCATGAAATACGAATGGAAAATAACACAGTAACACAGCTTACAAGTAGCCCCCCCCCCCCCCCCCCAAAAAAAAAAAAAAAAAAAAAAAAAAAAACAGTATGATTTTTAACCAGGAAAATTGTTCTCTCTTGTACACTATCTCCAGGAAAATGTAACTAAGCTACAAGCTTGTGTAATTGAACCAAATAATATAATGCTCCTTTTGATCGGTTAACCGGGCAGAATTTAAAACTGTTGTCCGTTTAGTTTAAATTCAGTAAAATGCAAAACCTTCGACAAAGCAAAACAGAGGGTGCAGGGTGTAAAAATTGCTTCTGGTGCTCACTTTTTTTGTTCAGACATGAATTTAAACCTGGCAAAGCTTAATTTGCTCCAGCTTACTCCTTCAAAGTGGTGCTAAAAGAGCCATGGAATCATTGAGTGTAACCACCAATCAGAAAATGGAAGAAATAAGTTGAACATGAAATTCCTAACTCAACTACTTCCTTTCAGGAAAATATCTAAAAAGTTATCTTTGGAAATTCCTGCTTTACAGTAATTTTGAGTCTCCTATAAATACAACCCAAATACACAAAATGAATGCACCAATGGAGGTATAAAGTAAGAAATCAAAGAAATTGTCTGAAAATGAAAATGTTTACAACATGGCCAAAACGCGTCAAATATTTGATTTCAGAGTAGAACCAAAAAGAAAAAAAAAAACTTTTCAACACATCCTTCGAGATTACTCTGAACAATTAGTATTTCATTCTCTGCAACACATCTGAAGAAGTTTCTCCAAGTAGGGTGGTCTTTTCCCTGCCCTTTATCCGAACCAGGATGGATTTTGCCAAAAAATAACACTTGTAGGGGACAACGAGTGCTTTATCTTTGCCAAATTTCATCAAAATTCCTCTAGTGGTTCTAATAAGAATTCCAAAATATGAAAAGTCTACGGACAGAAGGGTGAAA